GGACATTACCAATTCTTGAGGATGCCTTTTGGTCTCAAGAACGCTCCTGCCACGTTTCAACGTGTCATGGACAACATCTTGATGGGTATACAAAACGAAAGATGTCTTGTATACATGGATGACATAATTGTCTATTCCCCCTCCATCCAAGAACACATCAGTAGGCTTACCAAAATTTTTACGCGTCTTCGGAAGTCGAATTTCAAAATCCAGCCTGATAAGTGCGAATTCCTCAGAAAGGAAGTAGCCTATCTTGGTCATGTAATAACCCCTGATGGCGTTAAGCCCAATCCAGATAAAGTGGATTGCATAAAAAATTTCCCTCAACCCAAGAATCCTAAAGAAATAAAATCTTTCTTAGGTCTTGCAGGTTACTACCGACGCTTTATACCAAACTTTGCCAAAATTGCGAAACCCCTTACCAGACTATTACAGAAAGACGCAGTATTTGACTTTGATAGCGAGTGTGTTAAGTCATTTGATACTTTAAAAAATGCTTTAACAACATCTCCTATACTGATCTACCCCAACTTTGAAGAGCCTTTTGTGCTTACAACAGACGCAAGCGCTTTTGCGATATCTGGCGTTCTTTCCCAAGGTCCCATAGGTAAAGATCTCCCGATAGCCTATGCATCTCGTACACTTTGTAAAGCAGAAACGAGATATTCCACCATTGAAAGAGAACTTCTAGCTATTGTCTGGAGTGTAAAACATTTTAGACCTTATTTGTATGGTCGAAAGTTTAAACTCGTAACAGACCATATACCCCTTACGTGGCTTTTCTCTTGCCGAGACACCGGAAGTAGATTAGCAAGATGGCGCCTCAAACTAGAGGAGTACGACTATGAAATAGTGTACAAGCCAGGCAAGGCTAATAAAAATGCCGATGCCCTATCACGTATCAAATTACCCAAAACTGTTAACGCCCTTACCCATAGTGACGAAGAAGGAGAACCTTCTACCCAATTTTCCGAAAGTGAATTTGATATCTTTGCCCGCCTTTACAAAACCACATCCCTGATCGATTATTCCAAAATTCAATTTTCAAATTCCCAACTCCTAGACAAAAGTCATAAACATATCGTCACGTTTTTCAGACAAAACACTCTATCTGATCTTCACGAAAAAATTATCGAAGACATATTCGAGGAAAATCTTGATTTTTCTGCAGATAAAATTAACATCGCGTCTAGCAAAACAATTAAAGATAGGAAATACTATATTATTCCTGTGCCGTACGATCCCGTAACTTGCATACAGCATCTTTTCTCTGTAATTTTAACCAACAAAGGTGTATTCGACCTATCCCAACAAATCTACGTAAAAAATAATTTGGACTTACCCATTTTAGAAATTTTCTCTTTTATTTTTTCGGATGATAATATCAAACTTGTCGTTTGCCAAAACGTCACCAAAACTCCTAATCCCGACGAACATCCCTTCAATATTCTTCCCTATGCTGTTCAGTGCTACAATAGCACTAGAAATAAAACTACTGGCTTTACACCATACGAGCTCGTGTTTGGCCACACCTCTGGTCGTCCGCCCGAACACGTATATTTAGAAAAAGAATTGATGTCCAAGTATGTTCGAGACATTCGGAATAAACTCGAATATTACTACAAAATTGCCCGCGTGAGAACTGACGAACAGAAGCAAAAAGCAAAAATTCGCTTTGATAGTAGAGTGTCACCCAATTTACAATCATATAAAATTGGCGATAAAGTATTTGTGAAACAGTCTCAAATTTCAAACAAACTTCAGAACAAATCTGATGGTCCATTCGAAATTACTCAAGTTTTTGAAAATTCTGCGCTCCTTAAGAACCCGGAAACAAATAGAATAAGTACAGTTAATTTTGACAGACTGAAACTATGTTTTGAGACTTAGTTTCTCTTTCAGGTGCAGTCTGCTGTTTCTTGCGGCTGTCACAGCCCAGATAGACATCAAACCGCTTAACAACACCTTAGGTATCTATTTTCATGAAGACGCCCCTCTTAAGATTTCCAACGACATTTGGACACTCCTTGTATATAAAGACTTAGAACTCATTAAGAAAGGACTTGACGATAACAACAATATTCTGGAACACTTATCATATCTCGTAGACAAACCCACCAATCGTATGAAAATGTTTAGTGATGAAATTAAAACTCATACAAGTCTCCTTTATCAAATTTCTCGTTCCTTGGAATCTAAATATTACGCAATCTTCGATGACACTGTAAGCGCATCGCGGATGAAACGCGGTCTGATTAACGCTATAGGTACTGTATGGAAAGCAATAACCGGCAACCTCGATTCATCGGACGGTGAATACTATAACGATTGTATTAACAAAATTTCTAAAGATGAACATGAGCTCGAAAACCTCATGAAGAACCAAATTTCTGTTACCATGTCGGTTATCAAGAATTTTAATAACACTATTCAAAAACTTATGATTGATGAAACTACATTTAATGAAGATATTAAAGTCATTGAAAACAAAATTTATGAAATTTCAGACGATCTTGCATTTTATGAAGCTAAATTCCAATTTTTAGAAGTTTGCGAACAATTAATGGAAAGCTACATGTTTCTGGAAGAGACAATTAATGATATTCTAAATTCAATTACTTTTGCACGTTTAAAAATAATACATCCTTCTATTATCACTCTTCAAGAAATTTCTCACACTTTGTCGAGAAATAATTTACCCCTTCCGGTTAATTTGGCAACAGTGTCAGAGTACCTTAATCTTATGGAACTCGAAGCGTATCAAACTAAAACAAGAGTAGTATTCGTTCTACGCATCCCGTTATTAGAGCCCGAAATGTATACTTTATACAGAGTGATTCCTCTACCCATTCTCGATAAACGTACTGGTTTGTTTCATGTAGTCTCCACTATACAGAGGTACATTGCTAAAGATAGCGATTCTCTTTTGTACGTTTCCTTTCAAAACTTAGGTAGTTGTAAAGTTCTTCAGTCTCAGGTGAAAATCTGTTTCAACCTCTTGCCGTATCCAATAGACAGTAATGCAGTCTGCGAAGCACAGTTGTTGCGAAATCCGGTCGATCTGCCGACAGCCTGCCAAATAGCAATTGTGGCATTGCAAGATTACCAAATCCAAGAACTTGCAACCAATTTTTGGCTAATCACCATATCTAGCCCTCTGCCAATTACGATGAAGTGTGGACAACGAGAGACTACCACCAAAGTGATAAAAGTTAATTCACTTTTAAAAATGCAACCCGAATGCAGTGGCTTTGTAGACACCACGAGATTACATTCTAGATATTCTGTTAGCAGCTACAAGAATATCACATACAAAAGTCACCCTGTAGAAGTACCCTACAAATGCTGTGAACATCTCCCAGAGAAACAAAATTTACCAAAATTAAAACCGATCAAGCTAAGCAAGATCGATACTGAAGAACTCGAAATTGCCAATCACAAATTAAACCAATATTCTGAACAACTGGACAAAATTATGAACGAGCCGTTTGTTTCAAGACATCTCTCATGGTTCACGTATTTCATCATCACCCTGTTAGTTATCATCGTAGCTTTGTACCTGTTCTGCAAGTGCAGAAAACGTAGACCACTCAGCATCTGCGCATCAAATTATCCAGCCGATGGTCCATCTCCAGGAGCACCAAAAGTCCGGTACATTCCCAGACTTTTTCCTCGACGTAGACCAACCATCCAGCCACATGAAGAAGACATCGAACTGCAGTGAGTGTTCCGTGAAGTGTTTTCACTGTTCAAAAAGACATTTCCAATTTTCGTGTTATCTACCATGTGATTTTGCCCGTACGACTGTACGATTGTATCTTATTATTTGTTTGTTCCAGCTTTGCTTTTAGATGTTATTTAGCATCGCCAATGTACCGCATTTATGCTAACAATTTTATTTTTCAGAATCTATATTTTCTGATGTTATTTTGCAATTTTATTACTCCTACTTTTATATTTTTATATTTTACAATGTTTACAATTTACATTTCTACATTTTTACATTTTTGAATTTTTACATCTTTTACACTTTTCTAATTTTATCAAAAGTTGTCGCATGGCAACAACTTTTTGTAATAGGGGGAAGTTGTTATATGCACTCAAAACAATGGACTTACTATTCCATACAATGTTGCACCAGACGCTAGCTCAGCAACAGATAACGACTTCTCGCTAACACGTTGTTTACGCTTTATTTTCTAGAAGTGCTTTGTAAGCACACCAATAGTATAAATAGGCCTTGCGCCCATTTCATGTCGTTCATTACCCGGCTAGGCACCGTAACAGTCACTTATGTAAACTTGATGTTCAATACCCGGTTAGACTCCGTAAATGTCACATTTGTAAACCTTTGTATTTTGTATGGACTGAAGCCTCAGTCCTCAAATAAAATTTTTTAAAAAGTTATTTCTAAATCTAATGATTTAAGATATATATATATATATATATATATATATACATCCCACTAACTCCGTGGCGTCCATACATTGCCGATTTGCTAACTTGCAAGCGTCCGACTTCAACCGAGCGTCCGTATATGGACGCCCGGTTGATTTCCCATAGATTTTGTATCCAAAGTGTGTTTAGAATCGTCCATTAAAATTTTGTACGGGCGCCCGGATAATACCACAACCTGCTTTTTTATATAGTAGTGGTATATTATAAGTTGAACGCTTTCGCCTATAGAGGCGCATGATACGACTGTTGAATATTTTGGCAAGTATATTATACTTTTAACCTGTCGATTTCTAAGCGTCCACCCTAAATTTCAAATATTGACAACACAGCATTCCCTTTAATTCTATTTTTAGGTTTCTTTCCGACCACCTGCTAATAACCGACTGGCATTATTTGTTCTGCATTCGTTTTTAAGATTTGATTGTGGGTATATTATACTTTTAGCCTATCGATTTCCAAGCGTCCATCCTAAACTCGCTGTGTCTTATGATGCAGTGTTCCATTTAGTTCTATTTCCTATTTCGGGTTTCCTTTCGAACATGTGCTAATTAATTGTTTCTCAATCGGTTTCAAGGTTTTATTGTGGGTAAGTATGAAAATATTTATTTATTGTATATGTAATTAATATTAGTGAAATTCCTAACAAATATTCTCAATATTTCTGTTACTTTTCTGGGATTAACATTCAGATAATGAAACTAACCTCATTTTGTTGGAACGTTTTGCCGTTTCGCGGCAGATTTTTCAGCTATAAAATTTAATATATTTTCTTACGGTTTAGAAACAATTTACAAAAATAAAACACAAACGTTCTAAAGACCTCAATATACACTTATACTTTAATATATTTATTTATATTGTAAATAATCATATGATTAAATATTAAAAAAGTGTTTTCTAACCGGCTATTTATACATGTCATTACGCAGGCCTAAGGCCTAAACACCGTGGGTGCCGTGAGACTACAGTGGAAAGGGGAAACGTCACACGTACTCTAATGAGGGAGCATGCGTACACATTCTGGCCCCACCTAAGAGAACCGAGGGTGGTGCCTCAACGACGACGATCAATGACCGTCTACCACCTATCAAGATCAGAAGAGTCCACTTGTATTTTAGCTTTCTTCAGCATCAACTTAATCTTAACTTCCTCGCAGATCATTTCCTCTTTTTATCTGGGAAAAGTTCGAATCCATCATGGCGTGTATCTGAATCTGGTGCTTCGCCCTCTGCTGGACAAGTACCTTTTTTTCACAGCATTCTCGTGGGTGTTCACATTCTTTCTCAACAATTTCTATTATCTCAGAGGTTCCAATTATAACCTCTGGTGTGTTCTTATTTGTCTTAGTGGCTACCTCAACATTATGCTTCGTCCAATTCGTCATAGTATTTATATCTTGAGGAAATAGTGTACAAAGGAGAGATATACCTGTTAAAGTGACAACTGAAACTATGATTGTCACAATGCTAAAGGTTCCGTGTATATTTTCTTGAATCGTTTTTTCTTTGACTTTCTTGCTAGTGAGACATTGCCGTTTGGGTCTACGGCCTAAGCGGTACCTTCAGGTATAGTTATGAAGGGTTTTCAACATCAATGGCCCTGTTTTTGACACTTGATCCATGGAGCTTGTCAGTGTCGGGGAGCTTTGCGAGGCTTCATGGCGGGCACTGTCGGTTTCCTCAATAGCACTCTTAATGTGTTCGAACTAACATCCGAACCACTTTAGTTGATGATTGGTAAACTCATAATAACTTTAAAATGGATAAATACAGAGAATTTTTCAGTACTTTGAAGATATTCACTTTGACATTGACAGTACCAATTCATTCTTGGTTTATTCAGTAAAGGATAGGAAGTCAATAATTAATTTTCTGGGTGTCATTAATTAGACTGAAAAATGTTCCTAACATTAAAACAAAATGCTGCACGAAAGCTAATTGATCATCAGGATACTAAATTTCACTTCTCAGGTATTAAAAAGTGTAATGCTCGGTCTTATTGATCACATACATCCCCAATTATAAATATTTTTTCGACCGATTGAGCGATATTTAGAAGTCGTGCCGTCAGTTTGAATGCAATGTTTCATAATGTCTCCTTAAAAATATGCTAATGGAAGATAAATACTATAGAATACTATAGAACTGGCCAAACAGAGATTAAAAACTTTTTTGAATAAAGAAAATCCCAATCAAATAACAACGTGTCAAACTACTCTTCCAATTTTATTGATTCTAGCTGTATTCATTGCTTTGGTAATTTCAGATAATATGGACAGAAAAACAAAAATTATGTTGAATGCACTCAATATAAAGGACAGGAGTTGCATTGATTTCCTGAAAGTTCCTAAATATGAACGACTTGGAACCACCCAGAACGAACAAGATTTGTGCATTCAAAGTAAGTTCTGAATAAGTTTTTTCATAAATAAAACCGAGTTATTGTAAGTAGCCGTTGACTGTACAGGGTTACTGATTAGAAATTGTGCACGTCTCTTTTTTCATTGTTTGAAATACAAATTTACATTTTTTACCAATTGCAAGGAAAATAGCGTATTTTTATAAAAATAGCGGACATAACAATGTTTCGCAAGAAACTGGGATACAACTATGTTAGGTTTTTTTTGTTTGATTTCGTGACAGATTTTACATACTTTTTGGAACATACTGTTGGTCTATTTGAATTCTTTTTGAATTAAGGGCATTTGAAAGGTGATATTTCTGGGCACTTTGAATCCTCACAACGCCTGAACAGTTTGACTTCGAGCAGAATAACATCCGGTCTAGTTTTTGATAAGCTTTCACCTATAATAATGAGTGAAACAAAAGTAATGATACATACTTCGTTTTATGGCATTTTTATTTTGCTCTAACAATAAGATTGTTGAGGGGTTATGAGGATTTAGAGTACCAAAACTGTTATTTATCAAATGTCGATGATTTAAAAACAATTGAAGATAGACCTGCGGTATGCTTAATGATAAATATTTCAAATTCCTCACATAATCCAAACATTGTGTAATATATAGGCAGTTCCATTGAAAAAATTATTACGGCTTTTTGGGGAATTCTGTATAACACTTTTTCTATCTTTACAAAAATACATTGTTTACTTTTAAAAACTACGGTACATAATTTACTTCTGTGTCTCAAGAAATTTTAGTGAGGTCAAATTATTCATTGACATTCAAGTTTGGAAAATAACTGGAAGTAGTAATTTATGAATTATTTGCGAAACTTTGATTTAATCAATAGCCCTAGAACTCTTTAATTGAAAAGCAAATTTTGTAAAATTGTTGATTAAAATTATATTAAAGAATGAACAGATATATTAAAGAATGAACAAATTGTTTTGGGCAAATAGATAAAGTCACTAAAACTTGGTTCAAGCAATACTTTTGGCTGCAGAAATATCTTGGATAGCCACTGCATTGTCGGTACTGAAAAGACTTAATTTAAAAAAATTATAACATTAAACATTTTACTTCACAGGATCCCAAGAACTATTTGGGAACGTAACAAGTCAAACAAGAACACCTGCTATAAAAATTCAATACTCCAGCATATCCTCCACCGAAAAGGTGTATAACACAAGACTACAGAAGGTTAAAAAAAATCTCTTTGAAGAAGAAATACCTATAAGTCCGCAAGAACACTTTAGAAACCTCCAGTCTGGTGGAATATCACCTACAATTGATGTAGTATCTACTAGTGATGAACATTTTGATGCTCATGGTAGTAGTAGTAGTGAGCATGCTTCAGAAGAAAATGAAGCTTATAGTAGTGGTACTGAATACATTCCAGATACTCCCTCGGTTTCATCAGATTCTGGGAGCGAACCTGGCAACAGTTTTATCCAAAAAGACGACCATTTATGTAATAAACAGGTATATTGTGATGCCAGTTAATTATAAATCTTACAACCCCGTAAGTCACAAATAATATTGATACACCAGGTGCTTTAGAATACTATCTGAAATGAACAAAATATAATTTATAAAGAGCGGTTTTTGTGAGAGGAGCTTAATGCAACATGCCCTGCTACAATTTTGAGTATATTATAGAGAGATGGAAATTTTCATATGTTTGGCGCTATGATCGTTGTTTTGTCCAATAAAATGTGAGTTTTGAAGGTTAAAAAAAGCTATAATAAATGTTTTGTTTCCAGGAAGAAATATCTGATCCATATACTGAAAAAGTTACATTTTCGGGCCGCACTGTTGAACCAATTCTGCCATCAGAAGAAAACCCTTCCAATAATTTTGGGATATATAAACAGGATGGTGAAATGCGCAAGGGAAAGAAAAAGACAGATTTCTGTTTCTTTTGCGAGACTCCAGTGTTAAATTTTGCCAGACATATAACACGCAACCACCCATGAGAAATCGAAGTCAAAGAAATTCTGCTACATCCAACTCGTAGTATAGTAAGAAAACAGCTCTTGGACCGTTTAAGAAAAAAGGGAAACTATATAAATAGTAGTGTCGCGTGTAAGCCAGTCCAAAGTTTGCGCTCAGCAAAAGATCTTTTGCCTTGCGATAATTGCCTTGGTTTTTACTCTAGAAAATTGTTATGGAGGCACAAAATTAAATGTACTGGATCAAAGAGCACACGTGCTCAGGTGTCTGCCCAAAATTTATTGGTATCTAGCTTGAGAATTGATCTAAATTTGAAAAAGACGGTTTTTCCCAGGATGAGAGCGGATGAAATATCTCTCGTTGCAAAAAGAGATCCACTTATTTGTGCTTATGGAGCAAGGTACATGAAAATTCACCGAGAAAAGCATTTCATCAACGTAACATCTAGGAAAATGCGAGAAATTGCTCGATTTTTAATCGAAATAGAAAAAATGGAGCCAAATATTCATTGTCTCTTTGATGCTCTGAAACCTAAATATTTTGATACAATTGTTGCTGCAACAAAAGCAGTGGCAAAATATGACGTAGAAAAGGATAAATTTGAATCACCAACCTACGCTATGAATATGGGCACGAATCTGAAGCAATGTGCGGAGATAGCTATTATATTTGCTCTGAAAAGGAAACAAATCGCCTTAACAGTTTCATCTGCTGAAGCAGAGGCAGATTTAAAAACTTTGATAAAAGTCATTGAGTCACAATGGCAATATGAGATTTCTAGCCAGGCCGCCAGTGATATAAATATTAACAAGTGGAATAAAGTTACCCTAGTGCCACTTGCCAGTGACTTAAAACTGTTAAAGGAATTTTTGATAACGACGGCAAATTCTGCCGCAACTGCACTTCAGAACGACGGCGACGGGGACGTTAGCCAATACGTACTTCTTTTGGAGTCTATATTCTGCCGTGTGATTTTACTTAACCGAAGACGTCCAGGTGAACTGCAAAGACTGACACTGGACAATTATCAAATATTGGAGAAAAGCGATTCCAGCTCAAATTATGAAGAGTTCTCCGAGGTTGTTTCTCCAACTGAACAAATTCTACTCAAAAGATTTAAAAGGATAGTAATAAGAGGTAAAAGGGGACGAGGAGTACCGGTTCTTTTTAGTCCCGACATTCAAGGACACATAAATATTTTAATTAAAATACGCAACAAATTTGTTAGTGAAAAAAACCCATTCCTATTCGGTAATGCTAAATCAAATGAACCTATATGTGGTTATAAGGTTCTGAAGAAATTCGCACTGGCATCTGGGGCAAAGAACCCATCAGCTATTACAGCAACTAGACTCCGGAAGCATTTGGCTACTCTCACACAATTATTTGATATGTGTGAGAATGATTTGGAGCAGCTGGCTAGTTTTATGGGACATACCATTGGCGTACATCGGGAAAACTATCGTTTACCAAATGATGTATACCAAACAGCCAAGATTTCAAAACTTCTGCTTTTAATGGAAAAAGGACAAGCTGCTCAGTTTAAAGGAAAAGCCCTGAATGATATTAATTTAAATTTGGAAGAAGACTTGATGCTTGCTAACGAAGAACAAAGCGAACGTTGTGAATCGCCATCTTTGCATTCCGACGTTCCAGAACCGTACAGTTCAAAAATTCCAGAGAAGAAAAATGAATATCTTCCTAAGAAAAATAAACGAGTACTCATTAAGTGGACCGATGAACAGAAAAAAATTGTTATAATTTTTTTTGCAAATCATATAAAAAACAGAAAACCACCGAAACGAAATGAATGCGAGGAATTGAAAAGGCTCCATACCGAAATATTCTCGAATAAAGATTGGCCGAAAATTAAAGTATTCGTCCAAAACCAGTATCATAAATATAATAACAAATGAAGGAATTTTGTTTTACTTTTCAATGGTTCCTATGAGAACAGATTCTGATTTTATTTTTGTAAGTGTTGTATAACTATTTTCTACACCTTACTTTTGCCTGTTCTTATTTAAGAATAATAAAGTGTATTCTATGTAACAAGGTATTTTTCTACATCCAGCATTTTCATTCATAAAAACTTAATGCACTACCCCTTGTATAATGTAATTTGTAAAACTTATCATGTGGTTATATCTGTTATTCATTTCGCTTTGCCTGGCTTCATACTAAAAGCACATGTAACGTCGTAGGAAATATAGGAAAAAATGAAACACAGTGTGTCCCCAGAAAAAAAACTTTATTCTTCTTTTGATCCATTTTATTGTCAAAATTAGCTTTCAAAAAGCATATAATTTTATTTTGATAACCGCCATGTGATAAAACTCCAAACGCCATCTACTGGTAAGACATTTTCTGATTCTTTATTAACAACTTTTTATTTACAATTTTATATTACAACAAGGGCACTTACCTGCTTCATGTCCATTTGATTTGAAGTTAAAACAAAATCCTTTGTACCTCTTCTTAGGTGTCCGATGTCTTCTTCCTTATGGGGTTATTACTGATAGTCCACATATGGCTCTTGCGAAGCGTTTTTTCCTGAACACCTTTCTTAGATATTGACTGCTAGAAATCGAGTTCAGCAGACCGAGCGCTGAACTTATTTGTAGGTACACTAGCCCGCTGACTTGAAAAATTTGTTTTTACGGGCCCCTTTCACTAAGATTCTTGGCCCCACACTTTGGACCAGCGAAGAAGCACTCACAGAATCCTTCTGTGTTGTCGACGTCCATTAGTACTAAGAATGTATTTTCTTCTCCGGAGTATAGCAGGCTTTATTTAAACACTCTTATGCTGTCCATTTTTCTTGAATCCCCTTGTTTTATACACTCAACCAGATGCCAATCTGATTTCTCTTGTAGAATGGTTATACTAGAACTTGTTGTTACCATTCTGTCATTCATAGAGAAAATAGTTACTGGAATGAATAGATGACTTGGACAAACATATTTACTGACAGATTTGGCAACGTCTCCGGACGCTAGGTAATCCTTAGAGTGAATTTAAAATATATAAATAGGACGCCCAGTCACGGAAATTTAAAAGTTTTGCGTATATTTGGGACGCTCAGTGAGTGTTACAGTGAAAGGAAGCTGAGAAGTCCGTGATGTGAAAAACGATTTTTTCTATGTTTCTGAACAAAACTCTATTGCTTCTCAACACCAACTGCTGTCATATTTTGAAAAATATTCAGCCTATAAAATGCACATACCTTCAGAATTTATAGTGGACGCTCAGATATTGTTTCTTGAAAGGACGCCCGAAAGATAGCGGGATGTATATATATATATATATATATATATATATATATATATATTATTTCCATTATTTCCTGTTACATTACGTTCATAGGAGCCTGGAATATGATTAAAATGCTGCATAAATTTTTCGGCAATCTCTTTTGGTTCGGTTATTGTTTTATTTTCTATGTTTAAGTTGATGATTTCATGCTTAGGTGTGTTTCTGTTTTTTTTATTTATTACATTCCAAGCACTTTTTATTTTATTTGTTGCATTTAGTATCATTTTGTTGTAATATAGTCGCTTAGCTGGCCTTAAAACTCTGGCATATACCTTTTTATATTTTTTATAGAACTCTACAGAGTTATCCAAATTAAGTGTCCACCATTAGTAACTTTGTTATTAGTGAAAATACAAAGTTGTTTGAATTAGCAAACTAGTAGCATTTTTAACGCTGGTAAAAATGAGAAATAAAAAAAAAACAAATTAGAGTCGTTATTTTGATTTTTTTCAGTAAAATAACATTTTTTTAAATGGAAACCCCTGTATATTATATTTTTTCTGTTAAAGCATCAAATTTTAAACAAAAAAGTTCATAATGACTTTTCCGCTAAAGTCAAAAATAAAGTCAAAATAACGATAAATATTTTTAATTATTTGCAGTATTATAATATTAAGACGGCTATGAAAACAACATGGCGTTCGCGATTTGACAGCATTAAGATAAGCGACAAATTGTTAAACTGGACATACTCGCAACTAGAAGGCTTTGGAAAACAATGATAAAATCAAATAATGTCAAACATTAGTGTAAATACTTGTTTATAAGCTTTATTGTGTCATTAATTTAAAGAAAAATGTTCTCCCATGAAGAAAAGTGTGATATGTTAGAATGCTATTTAGTGTGCAGAAAATCCTCCTTGAGAGCAAGAGAATACTACAGTGAATTATATCCCGCTCGCATTCAACCGTATGAACGATATTTTCTGAGACTTTATCGAAAATTTAGGGGCAACGAAAATGTTTTTGCTAAAACAAGGGCAAAAAAAGAATTCATAATAAGCGAGGCCACGGAAATTGCAGTTATTGGATATTTTGAAGCTTATCGTGAGAATTCAATAGCAGATATTCTCAAGGACTCTAATTTCAGTTATGGTTATGGTTCAGTTATGTTCAAAGGATTTTAAAAAAATACAAATTTATTCCGTATAAGTACCGACCACTTCAAACGCTTTTGGCAGGGGATCCTTAGAGAAGACTTGTTTTTTGCCATTGGTATCTTAGCTTCTGTCGCCAAAATGTAAATAACTTTCGTTAACTTTTATGGACAGATGAATCAAATTTTTCAAATTCTGGAATGTTTAATAGAAAAAACCACCATTATTGGTCAAGAGAAAATCTTTTGTTAGTACATCCAAGAGGCCCACAAGTCCGTTTCAGTTTCAACGTTTGGTGCGGTATAATTGGTTCAAAAATTGTTGGCCCGTTCTTTTATGAGGGAACCCTAACTGGTGAAAGATATGTGGAATTTATGTCAGAAATTCTGACTAATTTCTTAGACGAATTGGATCTTATAAGTAGACATCATCTGCATTTTCAGCAAGATGGCGCACCTGCCCACAACTCCAGAGGTACTTATCATTTTCTAAGTACTACTTTTAATGATCAGTGGATAGGAACAAATGGCCCAATACAGTGGCCTCCGAGATCACCAGATCTAAACCCACTTGATTACTTCTTGTGGGGTTACTTAAAGAACCAAATTTACA